TGCGTGATGCTACCGGGTCACGGGCACGTTCAATGAATACAACGTGTTTGACAACAATGATAACAGGATATAACATTATTCACGTTGTTTCACACTATTTCGGTCCGCGTGTGCTATTAGAAACTAGAATTTTGTTGTTGTGTTTATGTTCTCTCAATCGATTCAGCACAGATGATCGAAGGGCTCGACGAGCGAATTAACCCATAGACACAGCCCACTGAGTTTCTCGCCCGATCTTCTCAGTGGGTCGCGTTTCCGATCCGGTGGTAGATTCTGCGAAGCACTGCTCTTGCTAGGGCCAGTGTTAGCAATATTTCCGGTTTGAGCCCCGTGAGCTCACCTACATGTTTTTAGCATAAGTAAAAAGAAAAAAAAGATGATCGTTTCGGACAATAACCTTAAGTTAGAGGCTAATTTCGATAAATTCGCCGAATAGTAAATCCATTAGTATTCTTGATACAAGATCGATTTTCAATCATGTATTTGAGTGAACTGAATACTGAAACAGTACTTCGTTTACTAATAAAATTGAAATATTGAGTTTTTGTTGTTGATTATATCTTCGTGCTTGTTTTGTTTCAATTCTAGTTTACTGTTAGACTCATAGACGTTAATACGATATAAAGACTTCCTTCTTAATCTAATTAGACTTCACTCCTACGGACTATTTATAATAGACTTCCTTAGCTTGATGTAATTTAAGAGCAACTAAATTAGAACTGCTTTTCGTCAGAATACTCGTTCGTAAATAACTTGTGGGTACCACCAACACGTTAGCTAATGAAAATTAAACTCCAAAATCATGAACACAGTCAATGAAAGTAATCCTACATTTTTTTTATCTCAAATAATTTAAATCACTCAAACAACTCGGTCAACTATTGCAGTGATAGTAGAATTATTTTGAATATAATATTATAATTCCTTTTTTTTAGTCGACAGGTTTATGTATAGATACTCTTTTTTTATTTTGATTTCTGTACGAGACAATGTACGTTTTTAGATTTAATTCAATTTTTTTATTTTGCGTAAACATACGCAATTATCCTAGAAGGTACTTTCGAAATTTACAAGGAAATTTAAAGCAAAAATCTGATATTACTGACAAGAATTTCAGATCTCATTAATTAATGTAATCAAATGCAATTTGTATTTTGATATCGTTAATTTTAAAGTTTAAAACGAATACTTTTCCTGTTGCCGTAAATCAATGCATTACAATCTCGATCTGGTTAAAATAATACTAAAACGTAAAAGGAAAATTCACATTTAAAATTTTATCAATTTTAATTTGTAGTACATATTGCGGAAAGAAGCGATCTTATAATTTTATTAATGTCTATCCTAATTAGTATAAGTTTTAATGACAGCAGGAAAACTTTAAAGGATTGTGTTGTCAAAAAGTTTGACCCTTTTCCCGTTGGCAATTAAAGCTGAATTACCCTATACTTACATTTAATTGTTTTGTTTGAAGCATATTTTCATCATTTCCGCATAAACACTGCCCCACTCATCAGATCGGAACGCAATACTGCTCCGCAGTAGAAGTGGGCCGTGTAGTGGGATCTACCTGTATACGCCCTACAAATAATAGAAATACAGTCAAACCTGGATAAGCGAGAGTTCAAGGGAGCACAATCTCATTCTCGCTTATAGAGGTTTCTCACTAACCCGAGTTTCTCGCTAATGCTCCCTCTGAATTTCGATTCGCGATTTTCCGCATTCAAATGCAATCACTATTTTAAGTTTATGACTTTAATGACAGTACTTTAATTCTCCGTTTTGACATGATGCAGAACAGAACTTTCCTTCGCAATTGATTAACGATAAACTGAGTAAGTAACAGGACGATACACAGGCATACGTGTCCATTCGAAAATAATGCGATAAAAGAATACGATAAAATAACAACGTTATTTAGTTCCACGAAATAGAATAGGTTCAATATTCACAGGAAAACCAAAAAAAACAATGATAAGAAGTTCCACGAAAGTTAAAAATGAGTCATAAAATAGCAGATCGACACCTCCTACGTATAATATCGTAACTCTGTTTTATCAACTTTACAGTATCGCAATTCAAAGTTATGCAAGCAGATTTTTGATGATAGTGAAGTCAAATCAGCTCATTTAAGAATCAAAATTGGCATACAAATATATTTTTAGGAACGGAATATTACCTCTAAAAAGGTTTTTTGAATCTTTTGCTAGAATTTCTTAAAAGTCACATACGGCTTTCTACTACGGAAAATATCAATGGTATTTCGTTGTATGTAGTACTTACTATACTTTACGTTGATATATATGTAGGATTAAGTAGGGTATGTTACACGTACGATAACTTACATTGGAACTAATCAAATAATAATGTGTCTTGGGTTACAGTTACCATAATATACAATGGAACAAAGACGTTTATAGCATTAGTGCTATTAAGGGGAATAATTAAAATAAAATAATTATCTTCCATTATACTGAAATATAATGTATTTCGTAATCAAAACAGTCTAAATAAACATTCCCTCTAAGAAAATAATCTTAAAATATTAATCAATGGTATTGTTGTTATTTTAATAGTATGTAGTATTAAGAACATGAAATAAAATCTTTATATTATCATAAAGATTGTATTTATTGTTTTATTAATTTACGTATTGTCTAAATCAATTTGCTTTATCCAAAATAAATAGTATTTTGCTTTAAAAAATACACGTATTATTTAAAAAATGCAATGAAATACTTATATCTGAAATTTAAAATCAACTAAATAAAATCTCTTTCAAATTTAAAATATAATACATATTATTATTATGAATTATCTATTCATCCCTGCACTCCTTATCAACTAAATAAAAATATCTTTTACTAACAAGAAAAAAATATTTATTCATTACTTGAATATTCGTAAAAAAATCAATCAGTATTGTGCAGTCTCTAAAATCTAAAATTTTCAGTACAAAAATAAAAAGAAATTAATAAAAACTATGTAATATTAAAAAAAAATCATTAATTATTACAAAATTAGTCTGTATCTAAATCCGGAAGACTATCGTTACCAGTATCTGATAGGCTTTGGACAAAATCATAATGAGCGCTGCGTATGATTTGAGATTTGCACATGCTCATCAAATCATATTTTTTCACCTGAGGTATCATCGGCAGCCTATTGGCATACAGTACATCAATATTGATTACACATTGTCTCCTGGTAGACGCTTTTATAAAGTACGCATAAAGTATGGTAATCTTCGGCAGCTAAATCATATTTATATAATAATTTATAAGGATCTTCAGGTTTTAAACACCTCTCTTATTTTATTCCATTGAACTTTTTCTCCATTAGTACTTTTAACCCCATTGCCCTTTAATAACGTTTTGCAATTAAAAAAATCGGTGTGTTGTAATTCTTCTACAATATAAGGCTTTCCTTTTTGCTTAGCCCAGCGTACTAAACAAAAACACTCAAATGGTGTATAAGCAAGTTTATTCTTGGCACATTTTTCTATTAAGGTGTGAACGCTATCGCCCTCATTTTGGTTATGACCAACTTCTAAAAAACAATGATGTATTGTCACTTTAAAAATAAAAGCGACAACCGAAGCTTGCTTGTACCTTGATCCTTACGTTTGGAGATGTACTCATACAAGCCACTTCGTTTGCCTCGCGATTCCCTTGGACTTCATGCCACATAAAACAAGTACCTTCCTGTTCAGCCACATTAAAAACTGTAAAATTAAACAGTTAAAGCTTTCGTTTATAATAAAGGATACTTATATTACCATTTGGAGCAGTAAGAACTTTTGAAAGTCGAAAGTGGCGACTAATAGTTTACCATCTGATACTTTGGCCAGTTCTTTATCGGTCGAGTTTTTTTGGCGAGCTATCTCTTTATTTTTAATATGTCCTTCATATAATTGTGTTTCAGATAGTGTCAGACTAGATATATTCTTATAGATATGACACTTGTCACATTGGTACTTCTTTGGCATATAAAAACTAAACTTAAAGTATGCATTGACGATGTCGGGATATTGCCGTTCAGAACTAGCTTTTGAAGAGTATGTTAGTGTATTAAATCACTCATTATACAACTCAAACAAGCGATGGAAATTTAGATCTTTAATTTTAGAAAAATTTTCTTAGAATTTCTTTTCTTTAAAAATTTTCTTAGAAAAATTTTACTAAATATTGAGTCAAATATTTTAAACAGACCTCAAAAAAAATATTGTATCATCACAATATGTGTTTCAGTCAATGTATTCAAAACAGTTTTACGATTTTATAATTTGATGTACTACAGTCACTTCGAATTTTAAAAATATTGAATGATGGAAGCTTTATGGTATTGTAATTCCTATCTGTCAGGCTGACAAATGCTGACACAATCAAAACCATAATTTTTTACACGATAATTTATTAGCATAAAGTCAGCAACTGAGCGTTTGCTTTTTTTTATCAAGGTAGCCGCTAGTTGCTTGGGGCATTAGTCGGATTGCTCATCATTTTTTACCTTATAAGATAGACCTGATAGGCAGCTGAACATCGTTTTAAATAAAATAAAATCATAATATTTTTTTTATAATCGATAATTTCTTTCTACCTCACGAGTTTTCGTGCTCACGAAATGCTACACTGTAACCAAAATTTACGAACGTATCTTTTAACTAAAACAAAAAAAAAAAACCTATGAGTTCATAAAATCTAAACACCTATTTGATTACTCAATAGCGTGGTTTGTGTTATAATTTCGTGTAAATATTTCATTGTATAGTCAATTGGAAGCAATCATAATGTTGGATTCGTCATACAAGTAATTATATTATGTTTATATAAATACAGGGCGTCAAATAATTTGAGCCATTTAGCAGTTGTGATGCGTCCAAAGAAAACGTTTTGAACATAAATTTATGATTAAAATGATATTAAGTTTTGTTAAAACAATGGATTGACTCTGGTATTTCGACATTAATCTGTTTTGAAGATTATTCAAAAGTGAATTCTGGAACAGCGAACCCGTCTATCTGTGTCTGGGAAGTGCCTCGATACGTTTCACGGAGATATTATAATAACCTTGAATCTATTAATCCGGTAGTACTGTTTGAATGAAAACATCGTACCTGACGATTGTAGTACATTTTCCTGAATAGTTCATTAAGCGACTCGGACGTGTCACTGTGTCAATCCGCAAAGGCTTTCAGTGCGAATATAACTGTTAAGTTGTTGTGAACGTTGTAATGAGTGATCGGTTTTTCTTTTAAAGGTAATTCGACAAAATGTTGACGGGATGGAAGCTTGCGCTATCGAAACGTAAGTAACAATTTTTTTTACACACGTACAGCTCATCGTTTGAGAAATTCAGAAAGTGTTTTTTTATGTCGTAGCTGACGAAATATTATAATCGAAAAAATCATGAGTGAAATCTGGATTGATCAGGATTAAAATATTATGTGGAGCATTTTATAGTTAATCGTTATTTATTTGATATTCTATTCGTAAATTAATTAGAGAGTTATTAACTGAGATTTTCATTAAAAAAAATATCTGACCTTTAGTCTTGTCAGCCGTAAGCGTACATAGTGTTTTAACCGTTAGAAAATTTAAATGTAATAGAAAAAAAACACATGATTAAACTGAGAGAGAAATGAAAAATTAACAAATTTTTGAGTATATGTACATTTATGTACATATATTTAATTGAACGACAATTAGGTCGTGTGTTAAAATACTATCACAAGTTCATCGTTCTACCTATTTGAAATAATGTAAAACAGAACGTTAGGACAGAAATATCAGCAATTTATTTGAAAGATATGTAAATATTTCAAATTCACAAAAAAAATATAACCTCAATGCCTACTTTCTATGAAATGTGATAACGCTTTTGTTATCGGTTGTACATAAGAAAGACAATTCTCTTAATATTTCTTCATTAAAATTAACCGTAATGAATGTACAAAATTAATTGTTTTAAATTGAGAAACAAGATTGTCTACATACGTGCCCAATATAATGAAAAATTAAATAAAATGAAATATTTTTAAATGTAATTTGGGTCATTGGTTTTAGTTACGAGTTGTTAGTATGTTAAACTATTGTGCTAAGTCCTCGGCCTTAACACAATAATTCGGGCAAGCATTCGTGTGACGAATAGCTTCATTCGATCTGTATTTAGATGTTTACTATATACATACATGTGTTTAAACGTATATAATTATTTATATCAATCACTGTCTCAGAGTACAGGGAATCCTAACTTAGGATGACCGTGTGTGTGATGTTTGCTTGATTTTTTATTTACATTTATTTGATATTTATTATAATTGACCGGTTTTGGTAAGCTTAGAGTCTATGGTTTTGAACATGTCCATTGAGTAATTTCTGATCACGAATATTAATCGTCGAAGATTATGAATGAACTGTACATTTTAAATAAAATAAATAAACATTGGGTTGTAGTCTAAGAGTTTACACGGGTTTTTGAAGTGAAACTTCTTTAGGTGCGTTGAGAGTAAAATTTAACTCGCGACAGATTCGTTACAAGAAAGAGAGAAAAGATAGAATTTAGGACGAGCGAGAGTAAGAAAATAGACAGAGCGTCTCGAGAACCTTGAAGAGAGGGAGAAAGCGAGCTATATCGTTTCTCTTATACACATTCTGTTTACGGGCATTGGCCACTAGATGGCTTGTTATTAGCTTCTCATTGCTCCTGTAGACGACAGTAACATTTTAACTGTAATATTTTATTTTTAATGAAGGATTAAAAAAAATATTTTTATTTTTCTATATAACTAGTCAGGTCATAAGTATTGTCACACAGTAAAACTTTTCTTTTAGAATGCTGGCCACAAAAAGTTTATTGAATTCGAATTTCGAATTGTTCATGAAAATTTAGAATTTTACTCATTTTTAAATATGGAGTGGAAAAATTGGCGGTAATTAAAAAGCTGGCATAAGGCCAAAGTCATTTTGTTAAAAAAAACGAAAACTTTCTCACGCCCAAATATATAAATTGTATAGAGATAAAAACGTGAAAAATTACTTTCTATTCTCTATGTGTAACTTAAAAATTTAAATACTAAAAATTTATTTGTAAAGGGAGACTAAATAATAACGAAATTCTCTTGAAATGTTGAAAACAATAATAGATAAAACATTAATTTATTACTTTGTTTCAGTATTCATAATCCCACAGCGCTATGTGTTAGCGGTGATGGGACTATTGGCAATAGCGAATGCTTACACGATGCGTGTATGCCTCAACTTAGCTATCACTCAGATGGTGAAGAAAAACGTTGCAGTAGAAGGGGACGAGCATTACGATCCTAATGCGTGTCCTGACTTAAATATTGTAGCAAACGCTACGAGTCCTGTTTTGGCATATTACAGAGCAGATGATGTGAGTACATATATATATTATACACAGTATAATGACAAATCAAATCAAATCAAAAAAAGTTTATTCAACATAAATGAAAGTACATACTTGTTGAACGTCAAAAGAACTACCGCCAATTCACAAGAACTAGCCTCCGTCCTGAGAAGAATTGGCAAGAAACTCAGCGGGCATGTCTTTTTTTTTTTTTTTTAATATTAGACAGAACGGAGAACGACAAGAAACTACGAAAGTAATTACGAACAGATTTTTTTTAATATTATATTGCGGTTTTCATATTTATTACAAGTTATATACTTCGGTCCAGTATAATCCGTTCCGGTATAATCTGGTCCAGAAAAGCTATCAATAGAGAATAATGGAAGCAGCTGGCAGAGGCCTATGTGTCACAGGACACGCTGATCACTGAACCGGAAAATCCGATGTATTAGATTTAAGTTAAAACAATTCGCTACTGTATGTAAAATCATTGTTTAGTATCAGCAATAAGGGCTATATAAAAAAATATACGTCGGGGAAGTCACTCGTGAACGGGCTTAAATGTGTATTTCGTTACAAAAATTGGTACCCGCCTGCGGGATTTCTACACCGGCACAATCACATCGCTTACATAGTGCAAGTAAACTAGGCGTCCTATGGTTTAGATCACAACGTTCTCAAAATATAAATCTTTAAAAATAAAGATACAAATGGGTTGTTATCGACGTAAAAATTTCGAAAACAGTAATTAAAAAAAAGAAAATGAAAATTATAAAATAATTGATTATTTTCTGAGATTTAGAAATAGAAAGCCAATGCTACGTCCTAAGGTAGAAATAACTAAGTTGATTATGTATTATTGCCTGCTATATACGATATCGAATCGCACCAATCGAATTATAGACTTTTAGGTCTTTTGTCAAGTACCCGATGGCAAAAGAAGTCAGATGAACAGGACCATAATCAAATGAATAATAAATGAGATATAATACTAATAATAATAGGTGATTTAGACTCAGGGAGTCCTTTAGCGATCGTTGCTCCTCTACAATAGACAAACTCTTGTAGTAATTTTTCAAGTATAGACATTGGATATTTGAATTGATAAAATTTTACAATTTTCTGTTTTACGGTCTTCGCGAGTCTTAGACATAATTAAAGATTACGTTTAGGATTTAATCTCACGTTTTTATTGTCGATATACAATTACCGAAGCTTCGAATACCTCAAAGTTTTCGTAATTTCAAACGGTGAGCTTACAACAGTTTTAGTGCTTTCACAAAAAGGCAACAAGTTTTTAATTTTTTGAATTCGAAAAACTCTAACTAATTTAATTCTTGAAGCATCAATATCTAATCTGCGGAAAATACAATTCAGATCGCATCCATTGTTAGGAGTTATCACGAACTTGGAAGTATTCCTAAGGCTACGCTGGTTACGTTATCTAAATCCTAGATAAATATCGCTTTCGATACAATCTTCAACTTAAAGATAATACTGAATAGCTTGTTTACATAATATGACATAGAATTCTCAGCTCTCGTAATTTTAAGTTAAGGTTACCCTACTTTTCTGATTGTATTATGGATAATCTTGACATAATTTTTGTTTCCGGTATTATTAACAGAAACACAATACTTTACATTTTTGTTTCCGGTAATGATTATTTATCATTTTCTCTCATTTTCATTCACTTTTTATTCTGGAATATAATAATCTTCAGTATTTTTGTTTAATTGTTTTATTGCATAGATAACTGAACGAGATCATGGTCCTTCTAGTTTTAAGTGGTTATTGGAGCACATAGATATCACAAAATGAACCCACCTTGAGACGAGAGATCCATCCAATGTCAATGGGCTCATTTATGATAAATATGTTTGAAATGTCCTGATTTGATTCGAAGTGGTATTTAAGTTTTGAAATAATTTAATTATATAAAATTTTATCGTTGCTTACAGGCGGTACTATTCGAATGGAGCGAAGCGACACAGGGATTGATTCTCGGTTCTTTTTATTATGGTTACGTACTAACACATATTCCTGGGGGAATGTTAGCTGAACGATTCGGAGGAAAATGGGTTCTGGGATTAGGTTTACTATCGACAGCTATCTGCACTTTTATAACACCAATTACAGTTAAAATGGGAGGCGCTACTGCTCTTTTCATTCTTCGAGTGTTAGAGGGTCTCGGTGAAGTAAGTATCACAATAATTATAGTTACGATGTCATTTTCTGTTTCATCTCTTAAGAAATTAAAATCTGTTTTATCCATTTTTAGTGATGTTGCCATATTTTTGACAAATTTGACATCTGAATAAACAAGGCATTTAGATTCAGCTTGAATAGCAATTCGATTTAAGTTAAATAACTTACTTGCTAATATTTTATGTAATATTCATAATTAGAGACAAAGTTAAAAATAAATCGGCGTTAATTACTTTTTCATTCAGGGTCCAACTATGCCTGGTCTTATGGCCATGTTATCGAAATGGGCACCAAAAGCTGAACGTGCCAGATTTGGTGCTATTGTCTTCGGTGGTGCTCAAATCGGTAATATTGCTGGGTCCTACTTATCCGGTTTGATTATGCACGAAGGAAGTTGGGAAAATGTTTTCTATATGTTCGGAGGACTTGGATTCTTATGGTTCTTGTTTTGGGTACGTGATATTATAGTATGAATAAATTTAAATATATAATTTTATCATACCAAGATTTCAATTTAAAATTAAACAATATGCATTTTTACGTGTTTCAGACTGTTTTGTGCTACAGTACACCAAACACACATCCATATATATCGGACGAAGAAAAAAAGTTCCTAAACCAAAACGTAGATGCGCTTATTCACAGTAAGAAGCAGGCTTTAGACCCCATCCCGTGGAAGGGTCTTCTGCGATCTGTACCTTTGTGGGCTCTCATTATCGCTGGAGTAAGTTCTATTTAATTTTATTACCTCTTCAATTATTTACTTTACTTGGTATAATTCTATCGCAATTATGATTTCAAGTTTAACAATCAGATAATTTCAATATCCTTCGGGTGGATGTTGATAATATAAATCGCTATCTCACAGTTCAATACTTGAAAGATTTTGATCGATCAGAGAAGAAGATTCGAAATCGCGGTCGAGTGGATTCATGTGATTGCAGAAATTTAACAATTATTTTACCTTCAGATTGGACACGACTGGGGATACTTCACGATGGTAACTGATTTACCAAAATACATGACAGATGTTCTGAAATTTAATATTAAATCTACTGGGATTTTATCAGCCCTTCCGTATGTAGCGATGTGGATCGCTTCGTTCTTCTTCGGTTTGGTTTGTGACTTCTGTATTAAAAGAGGTTACCACAGTATTCAAAATGCAAGAAAAATTTACACTACCATCGGTAAGCTATGGTTATCTTAATTTTGAACCTAATTTAATTAAATAAGATTTTACACCCGAACTAGACAAAGGTCTAGCTTTATATGGACTGTTTCTGTATAAGACTGAACAATTTATAAAAAATTGTAGATATGAATGTAAAAAGTAGTAGCATTTATCAAATACATATTTTTCGCTTCAACCTAATGCTTGGTACTTAGTTGTTCATTATCATTTTTTTTCTCTTTGTAGCTGCGACTGGTCCTGGTATTTGTATTATTCTGGCCTCATATTCTGGTTGTGATACCACACTGGCTGTGTTTTGGTTCGTGTTTGCAATGACTCTCATGGGTGCCTACTACAGTGGTATGAAAATCAATCCACTTGATATTTCTCCCAACTATGCTGGTACCACTACGGCTATGGTCAACGGTATTGCAGCAATTTCCGGAATCATCTCACCATATTTGATTGGGCTTTTAACTCCAGAAGTAAGCGCTTATTGAATTTGTCTTCTTATTTTAATGGTTTAAAAAGTAGATTTTAAAAGTAGAAATATAGAATAAAAAGTATATTTTCCTTTACATTAATTGGTACAGGTAAAGTGAAAAATTTAATCTTGTAGTAAAATTAATATTATAATTAACTTTAAGCATAACCTAAATACTTATAACATTAAAAGTTAATTTAAAAAAAAAATTACGATCATGAAATTTATTTTTTAGACATAATAACAATTTAAATTGAGCTATTGAACAAATTGCACAAAATACGTTCATTGATTTTTATAATTTTCCTTCACAGTCCACACTGAAACAATGGCGTGTGGCGTTTTGGGTGTGTCTCGGCGTATTAGTGGTGACAAATGTAGTTTATCTTATGTTCGCGAAAGGTGAACAACTTTGGTGGGACGACGTCAGGAAACATGGCTATCCCGCGAATTGGAAGCATGGACCTTTGCCGTCGAGAACAGTTGACTCGGAGGAACAAAAAGAGAAAACAGACGATAAGGACGTTAAATAAAGCACGTGTCAGTGCTCTCTTGCGGCTGTGTTGTATATAATCGTAATTAAGTTAACAATAATAATTGTAATAAACTATTTATTAAACTAAATTTGTTTTATTCTATATACGTTTAGTAACAAGGTCAGTGGAAAAATCAACGAAACGATAAAATTTAATGTTAATGAAGAAGTATTTTACAGATACATTGTAAAGTAAGCACCAAAGAAAACATGAAATTAACCCAGTATCATACAGATAGTATTGTGAAGGCTTAGTGCAAATTATTTCTGAAATGTGAGCATTTATTAACAGAGTAAAGCAACGAAGTGCAATCAAATATTAGTCAGTCGTACTAGCAACCAAAATTAAAAACTCATCAGCAATTGTGTAGAAAATCATGAAGTTGTTATGGCCTAAAAAGTCTGTTCTGGTGTACTCGTGTATAAGCATTGCGACCAAGCCAGTGCTCAAATCCCGCATGCAGGTTCCAATATTTCCAAGAAAGTCAGTACTGAATTAACGGTCATAAATGACTTCCATCATGAACGAATAAAGGTGTGTCAAAAAAAATCTAGTAAAATTATAATTAGCATAATTACCAAACTGGGACGTAGATCTCAAGTCTCAAAGTTAGTGGTAAGATTCACGATGCAATGTCTATGAGCTCCGGTAACCCCTTAAACCTCAGATGAACCCTGAGTGAAGGAATTGGGGGAAAAAATCGACAACCCGATATCGATACCCACATCAGATTTCCAAAAATCTTTTACTTAGATTTAAATAAATTCATCTATTTAAATTAAAGTTGCAATCCTATCAGGACCGATGGAATCTAGATATTTTTTTTTGTCCTTTGTTGTTGGTGAATAAAATCTGACATCTCATGGGTTTGTGAATAAAATCTGACATCTCAAGCTTTTCTTAGAGTTTAGAGTTACTTAGAGTTTATAAACCAAATTAGTGGCTCTGTTCACTTCGAGACATTCGGAAGTAGAGCACTGGATTAACACTAAGCATGGTAAATGGTGTAAAGTGCTAAAAATGTATGGAAGCTTGACTTCCACGGTGAAGGAATAACATATATACTAATATTATAAAAAGGAAAGATTTGTTTGTTTGTTTCGAATAGGCTCCAAACTACTGGACCGATTTGAAAAATTATTTTTCCATTAGAAGCCGACATTGTCCCTGATGAACATAGGCTACTTTTTTAATTTTTTTTTTTAATTTTTTTTTTTTGGTTTCATGTGTGTTTTAATGTTTTCGAAGCGAAGCGAGGGCGGGTCGCTAGTCGGGTAATAAAAATCAACCCCGCAAAATTATAATTTACATAATTAGTGGCGGTTGGACCTCTTGTGAGTCCCCACGGGTAGGTACCACCACCCTGTCTATTTCTGCCGTGAAGCAGTAATGCGTTTCGGTTGGAAGGGTAGGGCAGCTGTTGTAACTATACTGAGATGTTGTACCTTAGAACTCATGGTGGGTGGCGTCATTTACGTTGTAGATTTGTCTATTTGCTCCGGTCACCAATTAACACCAGATGGGCTATGAGCTCGTTCAACCATCTATGCAATTAAAAAACTAACTCAATTTAAATTGCAGTTACTTTAAGAAACAAGAATGAACTTAGTCTCTGTAATATTTAGCGTGAAGAAGTAGTAGTGAAAACAGGTAGACTAAGCTAGGGTTTTTTCTTTATGTTTTGTATTAAAAATTTTGTTTATCGGGCGCGTGCCGGAATTAAAGAAGTTCACGTGAATCTTCTACTTGAAAATGACGTCTCAACATAATTCTTATCAGTTATGTAACAAAAAACTTTGTGGTTAAATGTCACTTACTGCTTTATCATCATTGATGTACTATCTTTCATATCTAATAAAGTTTACCTAAAATCTTCACATATCTGTTGTAACAGGCTGAAATGTGTTCGTTAACAGATGAACAGACGAATAATATATTTTAATCGCAACCACCACACGTAATAATTGAAAATGTTTTTCGAGATCTAATGAAGACGGTCTATTACGGTTACGGTCTTACGGTAGTAATACTAATTACAATCTGAAACACATGTAAAAAGATGTAGTGGATGGATGGGTTAGTATCCGAATGTAATAGAATTATAATTAAGATAAAGGCAAACAATTTTGTCGGAAGATACAAAAACTTGTAATTGAGGAGTACTAGTAGTAAAGTGTTTGGTCCCTTCAGGGTCCGTGACGCAATTCAAGCATATATTGCAGACAAACAAAAGAACCATCACATGGGAATTACTAGCGCACAGTTCTAGTTTGGCTTGGTATAAGTTTACTTCTTCTTTTTTCTTTCTCCATCGCTCCCTCATTACTGAGGATCGTGACTCCGTTTCAGCTTGTCGACTACCAGCCTCCATCGGTTCCGGTCAGTTGTCTGGTGTAGTGCACTTAATTCATGGATAGTCCTTAGTTATCTATTAAATGGACCCTTGGGGACCTTATGATGAGGAAGTTGGAAGCTCAGCCTACTGTAAGACGTTCTACATATTTAATGTGATATCTAAGACACTGGTGGTAGGACCTCTTGTGAGTCCGTGCGGGTAGGTACTACCGTCCTGCCTATTTCTGCCGTGAAGCAGTAATGCGTTTCGGTTTGAAAGTATACTTGAGACCTTAGAAATTATATCTCAAGGTGGGTGGCGCATTTACGTCGTAGATGTCTATGGGCTCCAGTAACCACTTAACACCAGGTGGGCTGTGAGCTCGTCCACCCATCTAGCAATAAAAAAAAAATCTTTGAAGGGAAAAAGATAAAAAACTGCATTTTTTCAGCAAACACAGTACTAGAAATGAATAAAAAGTCAGTAAGTACACATACTTTGTAACCTTGAAGAAATTTACGTGTTTAGGCACGACTTAAAATCCAATTTAACGATTGTATTTATTAGTATCCTCATAGTCTTGTAGGTAATTTGAGTTTGAAATGTGAACAAAACCTATCATAAAGCATTGTTCAGGAAGTAATAATTGGTTTCTCAATAAATCACGTAGACATACCGTATTGCTAAAATTAGATTGTGTTTGACGCAACTTATTTAAATCGCCACGTGATTTTGGTTGTAATTAGTAATTGAAAAGTAAATTACGTAATTTCCTCCTGCTTTTTACGTTTGGGAAACCAATTTACGGATTTAATTTTTATTGCTTAGATGGGTGGACGAGCTCACAGCCCACCTGGTGTAGTTACTGGAGCACATAGACATCTACAACGTAAAATGCGCCACCCACCTTGAGATATAAGTTCTAAGGTATAGTATAGTTACAACGGCTGCCCCAATCTTCAAACCGAAACGCATTACTGCTTCACGGCAGAAATAGACGGGGTAGTGGCACTTACCCGTGTGGACTTACAAGAGGTCCTACCACTAGTAATTACGCAAATTATAATTTTGCGGGTTTGATTTTTATTACACGATGTTATTTCTTCACCGTGGAAGTCAATCGTGAACATTTGTTAAGTACGTATTTTATCAGAAAAATTGGATTCGAACACCGTTGCATCGCTAGATACGAATGCATCGGACGTCTTATCCTTTAGGCCACGATGATTAGACAAAATATCCGGATATCCGATCGATGGATATTCCGAAACAATTAGTGCCTCCGAGGAGATTAAGGTTTGAAAAAGGCTCGCGCGGGCTGCTACAGACCGACCAAATCCCATTAGTCACTTTTTCCCAGTGCTAAATCCTCACCCAAGACAGAACTTGGGATAAGGAAGGAAGGAGGAAAACTCCCTTTCTTGCAATCCAATACCTTCTTTTTTAAGTAGCGCTGTTAAGGTATTGGTACCTTTTATTAGTTTACATATTTTAACCGTCATTCTCACTTGAAGAGCTAGACGTCCGTTGTACCAATTGGATTTCTGCATTTATCTATTAAAATTGACAGCTTCACGTTGTGTGTTAACAGTCCTCATTCTAAAACAATAGAATGATCTGTTTAATATCGGATCGGATCGGATACCGGACGTTTAGTTGACAGAATGTAGAGGAGTCTTTTAGTGGATAGGACTCTAAATGCTATCCTTGGACCCGCGGTCCGCTCCCAAGACCTGCAGACTGTTCAGTCCCATATATTCTGAGCGACATCTAGGCGTAGGAAACTCTAGAAGGTTCGACTCCCAGCCCAAAAAAAGTAAAAAGACTAAAAAAAGCCTTGTTAGATTTATCATAGAACGTCATTCCAACAAAATCAACTCAACCAACCTAGACTAAGAGTGAATAAAAATTCGTAGCTCCAATTGACATTAAGGTCTGTTAAGTGTTATGCAACTAATCGATTATGTTGTTTTTAATAAATTTATAAGTTATTTAATTTGTTTTTTAAGTTTTCTTAGGTTATTCGTAAAATTTAATAGGTAGGTAGGTAATTGTATTTTTTTTCCATTACAAAGTAACTGCGGCACTACACATTCCATTGGTAATGATTTTACTGCTTCAAATCGTGAAGCACTGTTTATTTCTTTTACAAATGATGCGCTATATAAGTAAATAAAAGTTTATATTTTACAACGACATTTAGCTTTCTATTAGAGGAAGAATTTTATAATAATTGATAGCCTAGTTCAGAAATAATTCTAGAGATTGTCAACTTTGTGCAAAAAAAACAAGTTACAAAATGTACAGCAAAACTATAATAATTAAAACCCATGTTGATGTTTCTCCAAGAAGGTGATTGCATTGAATGAATAACAAAAGATGTTGATCTCTATTTCAAGTTTTAAAGCATCAAGGCATTAAGATACTGCCAAGTATCGTGGTGCACACAAAAGTAAATTTATGGAACTGTCATTAACATTATCTTTTGTTCATTTGTTTCACTTAATTGGAGGATGATACAAAAACTAAAAGTATTTGTAATATAATGGAGAAAAAAATGTGACATTTTGTGAAATGATTATTGAGATGATACTTTTGAACGGGTTTGTGTTTGACCCAAAAGTTGGTTTAAATCTCGAGTATCATTTTCAAATTCAAGGTATATACTGAATGGTTTTTATACACTGCATATGTCGCGTATAAATATATGTAATTGTATTCGCATTTCTATTGTAAGAATGTCATCACAAACCCTGTTGTTGAATGTAACTTAATGCTCCACACTTGGCAGATTCTGTACACAAAAACGGCCAATATATAGATTCGAATATTTGATTAAATTTTCAAGGATTTTTTCGCCATACACTAAGAGATGTATTAGGCATTTTTACATATGAAGTATTTGATCAAAATTACGTTTTTTTTTATCGCTTAGATGGGTGGACGAGCTCACAGTCCATCCGGTCTTAAGAGGTCCATAGACATCTACAACGTAAATGCGCCACCCATCTTGACACATAAGTTCTAAGGTCTCAGGTATAGTTACAATGACTGCCCAGCCTTAAAGCCGAAACGCATTACTGTTTCACGGCAGAAATAAGCAGGGTGGTGGTACCTACTCTTGCCGACTCTCAAGAGGTCCTACCACCAGTAATGGTGGTAAACCTTTTATTAATCTAGCTTAGATATATAATATTTGGGTTTTAAGAAATATATTTACTAAAAATAATGTACTCGTGCAAGTAAATATCACTATTGTACTTATTTCTGCAGCAAAGCTGTCATTCCTTTGGGTTTGAAGGATGAGACCGCTGTGACACATTAAGGTTGAAATTTTGAGAATCTGAACGCATATCTTTAGGTTTTTCACATTTTAATTGAAACCCTTACCACACATTAGATATCAGCAGTACTAGGGTAACAATGACATCGCTACCTACCGTGGTACCAGCTTTGCAGAAAACCGTGCTTTGAGAGCATTTTTAAAACCGGACCGATGGGCTTGGGTATGTTCTACTGTGTTTTGGGTTTGGCTGAAAGTGAAATGCGTTGATAGTGCTTTGGATCCTAATAGCCAACATGAGTTAATAAAAAAAGAAATCAGACAAGGAAAAGTACCTATAGTAATTTTAATTAAATTTAATCGAAATTCTCCGACCAACCACAAGGTATCTTAATCCTGAGATTTTTATAAGCATACAGTTTTCAAACAATAAAACTCAATGATTTTTCTTTTAATCTCTTCAGCTTGTTCAAACTTATCATTTGATATCAACCTTCTTAACTTTATATTATATCTGATGACAGCTTGAGAGAATTTTATCTGATCTCCTAACGAAGATACCATATCTATTATATTTGAAGTCATGTTTTGTCAGCTCAATGTAGTATTTTTTTTTCGTTCTCAAAATGTCTGACGTATGTCATGTTTATCCATAACATATATCCATAAAGTTGTGAACTGTCTTCAGTATTGATGTAATTAATTTTTACTTGTGCAACATTAGAATTAATTTAAGATGACTTTAACGGGATGGCGTCGAATATTAAACAGAGGTGAGAGTTAAGTGTTTTATATCTTGGACTGAAAATTAAAAAAGCCGTAAATATATATTATATGGATATTGCAAAAAGTTCAAGTTCTAGCAAACTTCATTTTCTCAATTTAAACTACTATTGCAGCATGCAGCTTGAGTAACAATTGCAAGATGTCAGTATATTGCTATCATTTTCATCATTTCAATTATTACGTTAGATTACTAGTTTCAGTTTGTGAAAACATAATTATTTATTGTTTGTTAGCCCGGTCTCTAAGTTCAGTCCTTACGTGTTTGATGCTACTAGGCCGTTTAGAATCTATCCATAATGGTTCAAGGGTTTAGATTGGTGGAATCAGTGATAATCTAAACTTACCCCGATACACATTGAGATTACTTGGGTAAGGTTTTCTATACAGTTTAAATTCTCAAGGTTACATCAAACTGTGTTGTTTTGTTTTTTTAGTTTCTAATAATATAAATAATAGGGTATCTCAGTGTATTATTTAAACGTAACTTTTTACAATTATTGAAAAGCCAGGACGGTGTTCTTTGTTTTAATTGTTCATTAAAATAAATGAATTTTATAATAATAATATCATTTTGGTTTTCCCAGTTATCTACATACCGCAAAGGTATGTGTTGGGTGTGCTGGGTTTATTCGCTTTAGCGAATTCCTTCACGATGCGAGTATGTTTGAGCATGACCATAACTCAGATGGTCGTCCAAAGTCAATCATCAGAACACATTATTGGAGAAACATGCCCTGACCCCTCTCTCAATTCTACTACAGAAGTCGCAGAAAGTATCAGTAATGAAACAATGATTATTCACCGAGTAAGTATAGTTTTTAAAATAATCAATCTATAAGGTATTTAAATGTATTTTATTGACTGCAGTAGAAAATTCCAACTTCCACGAAGTTTTGTAAGTTTTGTATGAGCAAAAGTATATAGAGATAGCAAAACTTACGGCCAACTAACTGTATGGTAAGATTTACGAGTAGTACTGAAATTTTAAACCAAAGAAATTTTGAAATTTTGCTTGTCTATATAATGTTTAAGCGTTTTTTATCATTTTGTTTTTATAAATAGGGGCGAGATCGATACGACTGGGATGAAGCAACACAAGGCTTCCTACTTAGTGCTTTCTACTACGGATACGTACTAACTCATTTGCCTGGAGGTCTTTTAGCTGAAAAGTTTGGAGGAAAATGGACGCTCGGTTTGGGATTATTGCTAACTTCAGTGGCGACCGCTTTGACTCCGTTAGCGGTTGATTATGGAGGTGCCACTGGGCTATTTATAATACGAGTCATTGAAGGTTTTGGCGAGGTACAATAAGCAATTATTATTATAGTTTTATCACTAGGATATTTCATTAAAAAAATTACTTAAATCTCAAATATTAAGATGTTATTTGCTTTTAGTATTCATCCTGCATTACTGGTATCTAGTAACTAAGTATCAATTGGTTAACGAGCTAGTTGGCTATCAATAATAATTAAAAACCATGATAATAAGAGCTACGATTTACTACATATTTAATCTATATTAATTATTTTTTGTAAAAAAAAATCCTACATCACTAGGAGATTGCTTAAATTTCTTCTTGCTTTAAAAATCATTATATCATCAGCACGACGAACATACCCAGGCTTCTAGTGCCCTTTAAAACATAGTGAGAAGAAGAACATGACAGTGTTAGGATGATCATTTTTCTAGTAAAAATTTCTGGATCTAGTAAAAACCACTAAAATAATCGAACACTGGAAATTTGCTTAAGTAGTAATTGTTTAATTAGTAATTTTGGTTAGTTCTCGTAGAATGAACACTAAATGGTACCAGTTTCAGAAATCGCTTTTAATGCTTTTAGGGACCAGTGACACCAGCGTTCGTATTACTAATGGCAAGATGGGTTCCTCCGTCAGAGAGATCACGGTTCGGAGCTATGATATTCGGTGGCGCACAAATTGGAAATATATTTGGGCCGTATGTTTCCGGCTTACTCTTAAGTGACGGAGGGGATTGGGCGAATGTATTTTATGTTTTTGGCGGTCTCGGAATTATATGGTTTCTGTTTTGGGTGAGTTACTGCAATTACTGAATGTTTCAGTTTTTTATTGTTTTGATCGCTTTGTTGGTAAACTGGTTTACCAGTGACTTGAATAAATACGTCACGATATCGAGGCTCTGTTCACTACAATAGATATTTTTGTGAATCTTTGGTATTGGGTATCTGGATGTTCTTATCCTGGATTCGTTCGTGATACCTATGTTATAAGAAAAAAGCACTAGGACAGGTCGAAATTGAAAGTCGCTTCGACGACTCCAGTGGCCAGCCATCCGTGGGATGAGCCGCGCCTTTAGTTTTAAGCTTAACCGCGGTAACTCATTCTTGTCTCGGACGGTGATTAGACGTTCCAGTGAAATCACAGGGTAGCCCTTTAAAGGATGGCTGCTGCACACTTACATACCCCCACGTCCCCTCGGCGCGGGGATCTCGAGTTGAGATTCAGCTCCGGATCTAATAAAAGTGTTTGTTGATTTTGGGACGTTAAAAATTTACCTCATACCAAATTCCTTCAAAAACAGTGTAGTGGTTTGTCCTTGAAAACCTAACAGACAGATAAAGATACTTTGGTACGAAAATATTCCAAATATAGATAAAACATTCACAATTGAACAAAAACAAAAATATCGAAATGTTTCCATTTTTATTACAGGTTTTACTGTGTTACAGCACTCCTAATTCTCATCCGTTCATTTCTGATGAGGAAAAAGAATATTTGAATAAGAATGTAGCGGCTTCTGGACTTCACAAGAAATTGGACCCAGTACCATTTAAGGCTATATTGCGATCGGCGCCATTGTGGGTGCTAGTTATGGCTGCTGTAAGTTACTTTCTCAATTTCATTAGCATATTTATTAATTACATTGCTTAAAATATTAATTGCAACTATATCTATTATGTAGGTTAATGTCCAATCGTTAATTATATTGAAATAGATATATAGAGTTGAAGTAGTCATGGCCTTCTGACCGTCATGAATAAGAAGCCCAGTGTACTCCTATCAAGCGATGTGACTATGTAGGTGTTCAAATTAGATATGCAGGTATTAATTTTTCTAAAACGAAATGTACGTACGAAACATTTGTCCACGAGTGATTTCTAAGTGGTCAGAATAACATAATGTTTAAAATAAGTAAAAAAAATCAAAATTTATAATTTTTGTGAAAAGGCTAGTACTTTGAGGTCTCACGAGTAGATCACTATCCTGCTTATTTCTGCCGCGAGGCAGATATGCCTTCCGATTTGAAGAGTGCGACAGCGAGTATACAATTAAATTCAAACTTGAACCTCAAGATTTAAGAGCTCATAGGGTCAGCGATTATTAAATATGAGATGAATTTTAAGTTCTTACCATCTAAAGTAAAAAAAAACGTTGCAAAAACTAACATATTGAACTTTCAGATTGGCCACGACTGGGGCTATTTTACAATGATAACTGACCTTCCAAAATACTTTTCGGATGTACTGAAATTTAATATTAAAGAAACTGGACTCATGTCTGCTTTACCTTACATAGCCATGTACATTTTCTCGTTCATTTTTGCTGGTTTATGCGACTTGTGTGTTCGAAAGAAATGGCACAGCATCGGCACTGGCCGTAAAATTTATACAACAGTTTGTGAGTAACATTAACATTCAATAGCACTTTTACTTTTTGCTTTTTCATAAAATACGAAACTGATTTAAAGGAATCAAATGCTTTTTGTTATTTAGCGTCTTGTTGTCTTTTCTATATGAAATGTGTCATATATACATATTATATTACTGGTGGTAGGACCTCTTGAGAGTCCGCGCGGGTAGGTACCACCACCCTGCCTATTTCTGCCGTGAAGCAGCAATGCGTTTCGGTTTGAAGGGTGGGGCAGCCGTTGCAACTATACTTGAGACCTTAGAACTTATATCTCAAGGTGGGTGGCGCATTTACGTTGTAGATGTCTATGGGCTCCAGTAACCACTTAACACCAGGTGGATTGTGAGCTCGTCCACCCATCTAAGCAATAAAAAAAAAAGATTTGAACTTCATGTCTCAAAGCTATGGTACGAGCTTTTTAGTACATTCAGAGTCAAAAAAGCTTTCGTAAAAATCTTCAAACAACTTGTATTGGTTTTGCCAAGGTTTCAATACTACTAACGAAATTCTTTCCTTCCGCAAATATTTTCCTTTGTATTGTTTCTAATTTATATCCGATTGAATGGTTTCCTATAATCCTATTATTGATTCATTATTCAATACCATCACGACCCGGTCACGGTTAACATATTTTTTGTCCGTAGCGTCTTCCGTGCCGGCTGTTTTTATTATTCTGGCCTCGTATTCGGGTTGCAACCGTGCGGCGGCCGTCGGCCTTTTCATAGCCTCGATGGCTTTCATGGGCGGCTTCTACAGTAGCGTGAAGATCAATGCCATGGACATCGCACCGAATTATGCGGGCACATGTTCTGCTTTCGTTAATGGTATCGCAGCCATTTCTGGAATTATAACTCCTTATCTGGTTGGACTTTTAACACCTGATGTAAGTTGATGTTTATTATTAAGATATTCTTGTTAAGTTAGTACTAATTTTATTTAACAGAAGACCTAAAACATACGACAAGCGGCAACCAGCTAGCTATATATTTATTTTTAAAGAACTAACGGTTAGTATTTTTGTCGTATGAATTCATATTATGTAGGTTCCGTTATAGAAACCCGGTTATATGGTTTTATGAGTAGAGCTAGAACGTGAGCTTGTTTTACATAAATCTTAAAATTTACAAACATATATTTATACTGACTAAAATAGAACTTAAAGAGCTTATAGAGAAAACTAACATATTTTTCTAATTTTATTCACTATCCCAATATTTTTGGTGGACTTTTCCGTATAACTAGCCAATCCAACATTTCGAAGTTTAAAGCCGGTTCATATGGCAGTTTGAAGCTGACGAAAAAAAAAAACAAATAAATTTTAAATTAATTCATTTTAGATAATTTTTGTGTGCGATACGTTGGATGATTGAATACGATTTATAATTTTGTGTCTGTCCAATCGTGTTTTGTCGCTGTGTTTCGTTTGAAAGGCGACTTTTAATTCACCTGTCATAGTACTTTTTTCTAATAGCATAGGTATCAGGAACGAATCCAGGCTAAGAACATTCGGATACCCAATACCAAAGGTTCACAAAAATATCTATTGTCCTGAACAGAGCCTTTTACAGAGACTTTACAGAGACTTTGAGACTTGACTTGACAGAAACTTTTACCTTTTTCGTAGGTACCAAATCGTTTCCCTTTTATGTTTATGACGTTGACGTGTATACAAAATGGCCTTAAAATGTCTATGTTCTGTGAATTATAAATTGCACAGAGCGAAGTCAAGTGCCTGACGGAAATACATCGTGCGAATACTTTTGAGCAATGTTGCAATAAAACACCGTAGTTATTTTTCGGAGCAGGCTGCTTCTTCAAAATTTATAGCCAATTTATTTTTTGGTCGCCACGTTACATTTAATGGTACTGATGGAAGCGATGCTTAAATGGAATTGAAATTCATGTTGCGTATTTAAAACGTTTCAAACTAAATATTAAGTTTGCATTCCAGGTTTATTTTTTATAAAGAATTAATTGAATTGATTTAAATTAAATTAGACCCATATTATTAGGTACGCTTTTCTAACACGTCCTAAAGATTGATTTTAAGTTGTGCTTGATGAGCCGTAGTTTTCATGTGAGGCCCTGTGTAGCCTATGCTCCCGAGGACCGCCCTCCAGGCAATGCGTTTCCAGGTCTGACATTGATACATCTGTCGATATAGATTAAATTGAGATATCGGCCTCACGTCGGCTTAAAGGCTTTGAATGGGCTCACGTGTACAATACGCCCACAGTGTAAGTTAAAAAAATGCCTTGGAATGAATTAATGTAGTTTACAAAATTAGTACGAATATCACGATATAAAACAATGATCATGCTTCTTTACGTAGAAAATTCTATATATTTTTTGTTGTTCTGTGAAGTAACGAGTTAATGAATAAAGTCGAGAAGTACTGACTGGCACGGCTGACTGAACTAATGCGGAATAACGTACAAGAGATAGATTAAATCGACCGAAACATTACTTTTTTTTTTTGAATAACATTTCATGACGTTTTGTTTTTGATAAGGAAGTTAACAATTTTTAGGAGCACTGAATGGAATAATTCAAATTATTTATATAATGATAAATTAAAAAAAATCATTACTATTTTTATCTATGCGATCAACTGATGCTCTGTACAATGTGATATGTGTAATATATTCTATATTAATATATAAATCTACAGTGGTTTTTACGGATGTTCTGTTATAACTACTGAACCATGCATCCGATTGACTTGAAACTTGGTATCCATGTAGAAAATACATGTACTTAATAGATAGGCTAATATTTATATGAGTGTTGGACTCCCTAATAATAATGACAATAAATAATAAAGTTAATTTTAAATTCCCAGCGAAGCGGGCGAGTACGGCTAGTATAATAATAATATGTGCGGATGATAATATTTGAAAAGAGAAGCCATTGAAGTTAATTTGATGACAAAAGGCAATACCATATTAGTAAAACATAAATGTATTATTAAAGCTAACTCATTTTAGTTTATTTCCCTTTTTCTGACCGTTTTGCTGTTTTTTAGAAGCCAATGGTACTCTTACTTGATAGGTAGTGATTATACAATTACATCTTAGAGCAGGTATCATTTTAGCCAAAATTTAATGTACACAAGACCTGTCTGTCGAACTAATATCTTAAACAAGTTGTTCGATTGGTATTTAAAATTACCTATACTAAAAGGGTTATTAAAAAGGTACAAAACGTACCAAGCCGAGACATAACACAAATAATTCTAATTCATTGAGACCATTTTGAATATTATGCTAATTCTAACATTGTGCATGAAATTTAAGATTTTGTTTTGTTTATTTTAGGATTTTGTTTACAAAATTATAATAATAACAAACGGGTTTTATGTTTTAGTCTTATACCAGTCAATCAACAACTCTTAATAGGGTATAGGCAGCTACTTAATAGGTAACTCGTAATAGGGTAATTCTAACTTTTTTTTATTGCTTACATGGGTGGACGAGCTCACAGCCCACCTGGTGTTAAGTGGTTACTGGAGCCCATAGACATCCACAACGTAAATGCGCCACCCACCTTGAGATATAAGTTCTAAGGTCTCAAGTTAGTTAACTGGTAACAAAACAATTTAAACAATCTAATCGGGAAACAGTCTAACGGATAATTCTAGAAAGCGTCATAATAGACGAAGGTATTCACGTAGGTGCTCTTGGTAATTTCAGATCAGGTATTTTCAGCTCTGTAAGTTAAAATGCAGCCGAAGTTAATTTTCAACATACTCACCAGATGAAGACTGATTCTCTCTATGCTTTGTGCTGTTTCGATAATTTTGTCATCTGCATTTACTACCTTTCAAGTCGTAGTTTCTATCGGGAGCTTAAAAATTTTTATACAATGGGATTTTTTTAAACAGAATTATTGCAAAGTACGATTTTGTAGTGAATTCTAAACTGAATTTTCTGGCCCTTTTTAAACTAGATTATAAATTAGTCTGCTACAATTTGGCTTTGACCTCTATATTTCTGCTGTCCAAGAGTCTTAAGGTGATTATTGGACATTAGGTCATTGAGGCTGTATGTACAGCATAATATGGTTGCTTACGTAAGACAAGCAAAAATTGATTTACCTATTGCTATTACTTATCTTCAAGTCGAAAATTAAGGGAGGATCGATTTTACCATATAATTCTTTAAAATAAACCATTTTACTATCTTCATAAATAATACAAAAAAAAAAAACATTCAAAAAGTATTCAGCATTTGTACAAAAGCAATAGAAGTTGTTGACCTTATAGCTGTAATTATATTTATCAGTATCTAACAAATGATCATCGTGACAGAGAAACCTTACCAATTCCGCATAATTTAGAAACAATAGAATTTCGACATAAATTTTCTAATTATTGTTAAAGGAAGACAATCGATGCTTCGTGATTTAAGTAAATGTCATTGTGAGCGTTCATAATAACGGTAGTTAGCAAATAATGCTTAAATTGAGAAGCACTTTTGGATTATTATTATTTTGTTATTTAGTTCGTAGACAAATAACCAAACGTCCCTTTTAATAGTAGGTAAATTTCGCTCATGGATGTCAATAATACGAGGGGCATAGATAAATCCCTGCCTATCACTAAGTCCTCTCCCCAAGCTTGTTTGAAGAGAGATAGGTCGTAGTGCTCAAGAAACATCATGGACTTTATTCCTAAGCTGGATATACATGGCAAAAGAGATCTCTAGAAATGCATTGTGGACGAACGGTTCTAAGTAGTCACGTCATTATGGATCCTTCCGATCCATTAACGGTGCTTATAGGTATCTCAAGCACCTGTCACCGTCCTCGCCGAACCCGTTGCACTTTATGTATGTTACAGGGAAATATTGATAGTTAATAGTAAATTAAATAGTCTAATTGCTTAATTTATATTGTGTGTAAAATTATTTCCTTATATTATAAGTTAGATTGGTTCTCGTTGTAGTGTTGTTTTGTCCAGTAGTGGTAAGGAGCTTTGTGTACACACTCAGCAAATTTGTCTTGCTTGGTCATGCTCATATGACTTATGTTATAAGTCAGTTTTTTTTTTACTTGTTGTTACTTATTGTGTATCTTTTTCGCTTGTAATGTGTATTGTGTGTCTAATCTATATCTATATATATATAAATGAATTGCTGTTCGTTAGTCTCGCTAAAACACGAGAATGGCTGGACCGATTTGGCTAATTTTGGTCTTGAATTATTTGTGGAAGTCCAGAGAAGGTTTGAAAGGTAGACAAATATGAAAATGCTCGGAATGAAATAAAAATAACAATTTTGTTTTTCCTTTGAAGTGTCCCCCGTTCGACGGATTCCTTTTGTTTGCTTTAAGTTTATTTTATACAAAAGTTTAGGTCTTTTATTTATCGTTTGAGGCACTACGAAGTCTGCCGGGTCAGCTAGTAAATAAATAAATAAATCATGATCATGTAACTTATAAAGGTGTTAAGTTAGTAATATTACGAGTTCTTAGACGCTGCGTCGTGAATACTACCGTAATTTGAGTATGAAATAATAGTTTCAATAATCTTGTAATTACGATTTTCTCACTACAAATAGAAAAGGACGAATACTTTGTGTTAGAGATGAAAGATTTTATTATACGGTGTTAGCGTACAACATATTAAAGAGCGGACGGTTAGCGTGGTATGGACATGTATTGCGTAGAAAGAAGAAGCATGTGACTAGGAGATGTATGGAAATGGTAATGCATGGTAGAGGGGTGAAGAGGTCGACCGAAGAAGACATGGCTGGAGTGTGTGAATGACGATATGAGAGAGAGAGGAGTGAGTGTTGAGATGACGGCTGATAGAAGAGAATGGAAGAGAAAAATTAGCTGTGCCGACCCCACCTAATGGAATAAGGTGGAGATAAAGAAAAGTTATTCCTAAATCGTCTAAGTTATGTAAGTGAATTCGTATGTGTCCCGAGATGAAACGAAGCATAGAGATCGAAAAATTTATTCACTATGAAAATAATCAATTTAAAACAGTTACTATTTTTCACATATTTAGCATTATAACCTCGTCGTGGATACATCTGTATTCAATATAAGTTTGTTGGCAATTTGCATTTTATTTTAGTCGCAACATTGCAATAGGAGCTGTTTTTTTAACTGAACAAAGTACAAAATTACAAATATAAGTAAACAAGGATGCTAAACAAACCAAAAAAACGTGCATCGTAGATATAATCAGATCATGTTTTTTGTCTTTCGAGGTGGAACGACCAATTTTCAAAACCAGAATGAATATTAATTTAGAGATACGAGGAAAATCAGACACTGGAATTGCGAGTTCTTACTCATAATGAAGCAGCAGACACCAGTCAGTCATCTCACGAATCGCCAGTCATCTCACGAAGAGCTTGGAATCTTTGTGTGTGCGTGTGTGTGCGTGCGTGTGTGGGTGCGTGCGTGCGTGCGTGCGTGCGTGCATGTGTGTGTGTGTGTGTGTGTGTGTGTGTGTGTGTGTGTGTGTGTGTGTGTGTGTGTGTGTGTGTGTGTGTGTGTGTATGTGTGTGCTATTTCTGCTCGATGTGTTTTAACCTATTTCATAAAGTATGTATATGTTCGACCGTAATTGCTTGGTTCGACTCGATTCGACTTTTACAGATACCATTTACCGAATTTTCGATTATTTTTGGTTGGACTTTAACTTTTTATTTTTTGGAAGTTCTATTTTTAAGCAATCTGCTCCAAGGTATAATATTTTGTTAATTCCTATGAAATGTTCATTTTCATTTGAAAAGAATATTCAGGGGTTGTTAAGTGTACTATGCGTCTGATACGCTGATGTCCATGAGTAACAGTGGCCACTAACCATCAGGTTGGTTGTATACCTTCACGAAGTCAAACAAAAGAGATGAAACGAATTTCGACTATAATTAATTGAAATCATAAGTTTGAACATTATTATGGTTTTCTTGTCAAAGGCTATTATATTTCTATAGTGACAGATTTCGCTAAGAAAGATAAAAAATATTAACTTATTCTCAATTTGACTACAGACTTTAAGCAATAACCAAAGTTTGACAATAAACAAAAACTATGTGTGTGTGTGTCAAATACATTTTTAATGCATAATTTAAAAAAAATATTAGCATTCTGCACTTGATCTCTATATTCTCTATAAGTGTGGAAAATTTCATCCTCCTCCGTCCGCGCAATTTTCGTAAAAAGGGGTACAAAGTTTTTACTTCACGTAATAAATAGATAATGACGTTATTAAGTCAATAATTATAGTAGTAAATTTAAAATACTTTGTAACAATTGATATATATTTTACAGCAAACCATCGGTCAATGGCGCGTTGCATTTTGGACCGTATTTGCTGTATTAGTTGGAACGAACATTGTGTATCTCGTATGGGGCTCTGGAGAGCAGCAGTGGTGGGATGACGTCGACAAGCATGGTTACCCTCCGGGCTGGAAACATGGACCTCTCAAGAAACGACAAGTCGACAAAGAAAAAAAGATTGTATATCCAAAACACGACCATTCACCTTTGTCCACGGATTGAAATGAAATACAGAATGATTAATTCTAAAGATTTTTGTATTTTATTAAGAAATTTGTGGTTTTGTATTGTCTGATTAAAGGTTACAAAGTTGATGCGGATAGATCACGAGTCCAAGGTTGAAATTAACGTATCGTCGCAACGCTAAGTTTGTTTACCTATCGAAACAGTTTCACGTCAATTTTTAAGACGGACAGAAGAGATTATTTAGTCCATTTGGTGCTCCTAAACTGATACTGTATTCTGTAAACATCACAGCGGGACAAATTTGAAATGTCTATTATACAAAAGCCGTCAAACTTCATGATTGCATCGTAGTAGAATAAGATGGGAATGTGGTACCCGTTCTTAAGGGTTTACGATATCCCCTACCACAGGTATTAAAAAATAACTGAATTTATCGAGACCACAAACATAATATTTTCTAAAGTCGTACATTATTGAATGCGTAAACGATATAAATATAGTTTGTTATTTGTAATTTGCACGAAATGACAACGTTTAGTATTAATTTATTAGAATATGTTCGGTGTCCTCGTCTATATCTACAGCGTGTGGCCTTTGAACGACACACAATTCGATTTTAGACAAAACTTATGTACTCATTTTATATAGAAATTTGGGGGAGGTTGGACGTTGGACGTTGGACGAAAATTGGACAAGTTGGACGAAAACACAGTTCAAATTGAAAAACTCCTCTTTATTGAATTTGTCTATGTCCTCATTTTATATAGAAATTTGGAGGACGTTGGACGAAAGTAGGACAAGTTGAACGAAAACACAGTCTTCTTTATTGAATTTAGCTAAATCGTTAAGAGGAACCATCCTCAACTGCAACGAATAAAATAAAATATAATAGTTATTAGCTGAGGTTCAAAACGGCCAGGATCGTAAAAACATAGCGCTCTATAAACTTTTGGACATACTTTAATTAATAAGTTCCTCTCACCATTTACTTATACTAGAAATAAAAAATATGGCAACAGAATATAAATACCATAGAATAGTACAGGTGAGTTTTACTTATGCACTCTCATTGACTAAGTTTTACTACGACAGTAATGTCTGAAAATTGAATTGAACATCAGAAAATACGAGATTAATCATAAAAATATAGTTAAAGTTAAAGATTTTGCAATTCTTGTGGTCTCGATCTCTAGATATTTAGATAATTCTTCAATAGTCGCAATATTAGAACGAAATACATTTTGAGTGCTCAGAACAGTAAATTTGAATTTGATATCTGAATTTATATTTCTAATGCCAAGAATTAGTTTGTCTGCGTTATACGTATTATGAAAATTGAAGATCATCTAAACCATTGCCAGCTTAATGCTTTATTGAATAATCTAATTCTCTGAATAAAAGACGGTGAAATGAAATAAACAAAGATGAACTTGCAACACTCGCTTTGAGTGTGTCTAAAACAACGAAATCAGAATAATTAGCTCGTATATTCAAACACTTATTCTCCTTCTAGCCCTTATCCGATATTATGTGGGATCGTCGCACCATGTCATCCGATCATGCTGCATAGTGATTTAGTTTTACGAACGGCCTCCAGCCTGACATCAACGCTATTTGGGTTATATCTTCAAATGTTTTTATTACTGGTGTAGGACCTCTCATGAGTCCGCGCTGGTGGGTACCACCGCCCTGCCTGTTTCTGCCGTGAAGCAGTAATGCATTTCGGTTTGAAGGGTGGGGCAGCCGTTGTAACTATACTGAGATCTTAGAACTTATATCTCAAGGTGGGTGGCGCATTTGCGTTGTAGATGTCTATGGGCTCCAGTAACCACTTAACACCAGGTGGGCTGCGAGCTCGTCCACTCATCTAAGCAATAAAAAAAAATTGCCCTTAAATTACAAAACGCGACTTCTATTAATTCGTTTATTTCTAAAATCTATTCAAAACTATCAGCCACAAGTCGTCACAATCAACCTCTGATGATTCGTGCTTCAGTATTTTTTTGTAAAGCAAAAAAAATATTCAACTTGTTTCCTTTGCTTAAATTAGCTTATGAATTTTCAATTGAAAAGTAACGCGAACTATCAGAGTCATTCACAAAAAAAAAAAAAAAAAAATGAGCAGCTGCCAAATCTTGTGTTGACTTTACAATTAACACGATCACCGATCATAATAATGATACCAAACAAATATTTGATGCTCAGAACTTCAGCATATCTTAAAAACATGTTAATTCGAATCGAAAACAAGTTCGGTAAAATAACATTGAATCGAGAAAATAATTATTTAGTCTAATAAAATCGATCTGCATCCGTCACAAGTTTTAAGATGTTTTGATGTCAACCAGTATTACAGCTTTTTTGCGCGCGGAATCAGTCCACAGTCTTGTTATATAGTATTTTTTGTTACGTTTCCATGAGTGTCCGCTGTGATATCAAGTAAAATAAACATGAGATTAATCTATTCAAGCGCTCACTGATTGTGTTCACTATAATTTTCCATTACAGCAAAGTATCTAATAACGTCCTTTTGTTTCTGTTGAACTAATAATAGTTACTACTAGTTTTTTGATCACCACCATCCTCATAATCATATTTACATGGCAAAATGTTGTTGACATAGTCCGCTAAGTATTTCTTCAATCATGAAATCGTCTTAAGAATTTGTAATTATGTATGTAATAGATAGTGCTATGTGCGATATATTTTTCATTTATGAAGTCGTCGTGGCCAAAAGGATAAGATGCGCGGTGCATTCGTATCGAGCGATGCCGGTGTTCGAATCCCGCAGGCAGTTACCAATTTTTTCAATTAAATAAGGCCATAATAATGTCTTCATGAATGACTTTCACGATGAAAGAATAATATCGTGGAATAAAAAGTAAGCCCGCAAAATTTTTAATTTGTGTTATTATTGGGTCTAGAACTCATGTCTTAAATTAGCAGCGTTCATATTTTGTAATGTAAAAAAAATATCGTAACAAAATATTACTAAGAAAGTGGTGAATGAAAATTTGAGAAATCATGGTACTATAATTTATTCTTATGATTATATTTGGTAAAAACACCTGGAGAAAAACAGAGGTTGTTTGACGCAAACGCTTTTAAATGAGTTTGTGTCAGGGGCTTCAATATAAATATGTTGAAACTTCAAAATATCAAAATACTACATAATAATAGAGAATGATTTATTCGATGAAGATTTTTTTAATTCTTTGGCCCAATTTACTGAGGCATTGAATCTCAATGGTATTAAAATGGTTCAGTAATTTCCAAACGTTGCGCACATTTACAATTTTTTTCTTTTCATCTTTAGATCTAATGTACGTCGTTACAAAACGTATTATTAGGTAATAGTTTAAAAAAACAAATTTAGACTTTACAAAAGAGTTTAGGGATTCACCACTTCCAAAAGGAGGTTATGTTTTCTTTAAAATTTGTACCGGTAAAGTTTTTTCGTCAGTCGACCGTCGGATCCATTGCACTGTCCCTTTTTCATCAGAGTTCGATTTCACCACGGACGACATAAAATTCGTAAACGACAAAGCAAATAGTTAAGGAATATTTTTAAGGATAGGAATAGGGATTTATTGTTAGGGATATTTTTAAAAAACACTCCGCTTCAAAAATCTTACTATACCTATTTTTTATATGGAAGTAGTTAGTAATGATACCACTTAATATTTATTTCGAAACATCTTTGAGATAATTCAATTCACGCACTTAAATCAATACTTTCCCAGTTAAATAAATAATGCGTTGATACCCATCATAAGTACCACCAAAATTATTTTATTTGATGATTTACTCTATTAATTTTGTTTTATTTGTCTGATATAAATAATGCCCCATATGTGAGGCGCCTTGGTTTAAAATTGCGTAGTTTTTTTGAACAGATTCCTTTTTGGTTGTTCTAAAATAAAAGTAGCATAAGCCACACCTTATAATATCAGAAATCTGCCAATAAATTTCCCGTCAAAATTGATCGAGCTGTTTCGGAGTTTAGCCGGAACAAACAGAATTACAGTAAAAAATATATATTAGAAATTAATTATATTGTTATTATTTTATTTGTGTTTATTGAAAAGCTGTCATTTTTACATTATAGACAGAAAGAAATACTTCAGTTTTACATATTTTATTTGTATAAATTTGTTTTCATTGTTAAACAAACAAAGTGACCATGGCCTAAAGATAAAATGGCAATTTTACTAAATAGGTAATTGTGAAGTTACTGATTATTTTTTCGCATTTTTTTACATAGCTGGGTGGACGAGCTCACGGCCCACCTGATGCTAAGTGGTTACCGGAGCCCATAAACAATCCCTCTACAACTTAAATGCCGCCACCTACCTTGAGATAAGAATTCTAAGGCTCAATTTGTACAGTACAACGGCTACTCCACCTTTCAAACCGGGTAGTGGTACCTACCCGTGCGAACGCACAGACGTCCCACCACAAGTTTAATTGCTGTGGTTATTTGTACTCCATCACCTCTAATAGTGGTAAGTATCACCAGCTTGCCCATTTCAATTCCAATGTATTTGAGACTACAAGCCTTATGTTTGAAGAGCGGTGTTCACGCAGTTATTTCAAAGTAAAGTAAATAAGGCGATTTGTAATATTGTAAAATTGAGGACGCTTTAAGTGTTCTCATATCTGCACTTAACCTATCGATGAATGTGAATGAAGTAACGTTATCTGACCTATATTAACTAGTTCTATTTATTTTATTGTTAAAAAAATTTGTTGATGAATATTTGTGGAAGCATATGGCCAAATTTATAAATGGTACTATGATTGAGTTCAATGACACTGGTGATTTCTGCCACTGGGTTCCAGTTTGAAGCGGTAAAGCGATATAGCAGTTGTGACATTTCAAAGTTCTTGAATTCAGAAATTTTACGTTCTTAATATCATTTAAAAATATCGGATTTATTGTTTTGTTGTAATCATCCATTCCAACAACAAAATTTTCATTCTGCTCTTTCAATGATGACAGTTAGAGTAGACGTGTTCCAAAATAATTGAGACATCAACTTGATGTTTTAAGGGAACATTCATATATTGTTGTCAAGAGGTTAGAAGAACCAAGTAGAAAGAATAGCTTAAAATCACAGATTGAATAAAGTTGAATGAAAATCAAAATTAAATGGAATGCAAGAAATAACAATTTATGTAAAAGATATCAGATACACGTATTTGTAAATGAAAATGTGCATTGTACGAATATTATTAGTTTTATACATTTTGATTACTTATTATGATCAAAACACAATACACAGTTAATTTATATTCAAAGAACCAGACGCATGCACAGGTGATTTTATTAATGGAATTTGTTTACGCTATACAAAGAATAGAATGTGGATAAAGTCATCGCGTTATACCCAAGATATAGTTGCTTTCCAGAAGACACTCTGCTATGATGAATTCATTTTGTTAATGAAAACGAATTTTATCATCTTCTTAGTTCTATATTTACATTTAAGTTGTTTCCAAAAAATATGTCTTTTGAAGTTTTGAAGGAATTGAATTTTTTCATATTATTATTATTTTTTCTATCGATTAGAGGCATCACAAAAATGTTTGTATCTTATCTTCCTCTGAAATCTTTACTCATATGATTTATTTTTATATAGAAATTAGTTTTGGTTATGTAGCTTTGACGTTTTTACTGGCTTTTATCATTCAGCCGCTTTCTAAAGAAAATAGGTTAAGCAACATAGTAAATATTACACATTGTGTATAGACTCCGGTAAATAGACAAAAAGTCGGCAAGCACTAAATTCAAATGAACGCATCGGCAAAGGTATAAATAAAACCAAATATTATTGTAATTTTTGTATTTAATATTTTTTATTTGTGTTTATTTCATATTGGCACATAATAAAGCATACTCTACTCTATTTTTATTTCAAACACATTACACATTCGCACGCATTACAAAATATATTGAAACGTTGGTACGTGACATATCATAATTGAATACTATCAGAACGTCATATTTACTACAGTCTGCAAGGCAATTATTATTATTCGACACAGATATAGCAGCATTGGCAACTGCGCCTTCGAGATAACGCTTTGATCTTTGATCCTCCAAGAGGCTGCGTGCGCGCCGTTCTTTTCACGTGCTAGACGACTTGTTGCCGCGCGCCAGTCACCTGTGTGTAGCCTTAACTCGTGTTAACAAGTCATAATTTGAATGGAAAACGAAATACGATTTTATTTAAGAAATAAATTGAGTCCAACGATACAAAACGTAAGTAATTTGTGAATTCAATCTATTTGGGCACCCAGAAATTAAATTACAGACAATTCATTTTATTTTAGTAATTAAATCACTACCATTTGAGCCTAGATATATTTTAATTATTTTAAAGTCATATTAATTTGTCAAAATTATAACTAAGTCTGCGACGTGCAAAAAGTAAAGGTGCGTTGTGTAAGACTACAATTATTTTGATAAGAAAATTTTATTGCGGGTAATAAAGTCCAATATATAACGTCATATTTTGTGTAAATAAATAATGAAATTAAGTCGTAATCTTTCACTATTGACTTAACGATAAGTTGAACGAAATACAATTTTCGAGCGATCTTCTACACTTTTGAAAAGAAAAGTAATAGAATTTTTACGTATATAATGCGCTTACTAAAAAATAAACTATACAAAATTGTATTTAATGTATATAATGTAAAATGCATGAAATTAAATTAACAAGCTTATCCTTTGAATGGGAAGCAAACGGCTCTATCTCAGAAATAAATTACCACAAAATATCGTATTATTAGTGTTTTTTGATAATCAAACTCATCAAAATAGTCAACATGTTGATAGCTATTGCTTGTGTTATTCATTCATAATTAAATAATAATTTTCAGACTGAAATATCTAAGAGTGCAAATAACAAATACTTGTTTGACAACAACGTTATGACAAAACATGTTATAACCTTATCACTTTCATTCCTGTCAATGTCGCCTTTAATAACCGCTTTTACGTTTAAAATGACAACGCAATGAGACGTTGTAATCTTTGTGGCAATGAAATGAAGACTAGTCGATGATTTTAATGTGATGACCTTTCCTGTTCATAAGGAGTTATATTAAGGATTTTATGAAACAGTTAATTTGATTTCTCATCACGTAATTATTTAAAATCCATTGTTAATTTTCCTCCTGCTACGTCTCATTTACAATGATATTTGCATTGTACCGGTTTCCGCTAATGTTTTCGCTTTTTTGTGTCACACTCGATGTTACACAATTAAGTCAGAATCAACGATCCTGGCCTCCGTCGGCTATTATAACTTCGCTTTGGATTACAGTTTCGCGATACATTGACTTACCAAATTACCAATATATTATTTGTAACTCGAAGTTAGTGAAAAGGTTTGGAACGGAAAGTATTTTGACTTGAAATATCTATAGCCGCACATAAAATCGATTGCTAACGCGGCAACGCATGCTAGTATATATTTATTAATCGATATACCTGTACAAAATAATATCAATGTTTCACATCTGCTAGCCTTCTCGCGATGGAAATTTTGCTTAATATCTTATTTCGTAGATTTTTTTTTTGTTGTTGTTTTTTGTACACAATATGTGACACAAATTCTTTTTTTTTTTTAAGATTATAAGTTTTTAAGCTATTGCATAGATTTTATCGTGGACCTTGAGCGCGGCTTGCGAGCGGAATCGTGAAATTCCGTAACGAAAATAACCTTCCACCCTTTACTACGCCTACTGTGTAGCTCGCGTTCAGCACATTCACACGTTGCGCTTGTGTAGTGTTTAAAGTAAGTAGTCTAAACACCGATTTATGTACTATCAAAAGATGTGATATAATTTCGTGGGTAACACAACGATAGCGCGAATCAGCTTTTGCGTCAAGTCAAAATTATTATTGTCGATTTATAATTGCATAAGTTGATAAAAAATGCTATGCAATAGCTTTACCGCGGCAGTCTCCGAGTGTCACACGTCTTTTTTTTTAATAAAAATAGTCTAACGAAACCTTCAGACCGTTTGCTGGGTCTGTTTAGAGCAGTTAAATCGTTCAACCTTACTAAAGAACACTTGCCCAGGTTTTAAACATTTTAAATATCTTAATATTTTAGAACACAAGGAAATTATTTTGTGCCATATGAAATGTTAAGGAAATTTTAGAAGGAAAACATACATATTTAATTATTTTTCCTCCAAATAAATCTTCAAATTGATCAACCACGATTATTTTGATTAAGTAAAAAAAAAACTTTCAACACGAATCCGTTTAAAATTTGGCGTGATAAAGCACAAATCTCGAATTACCATAAAATATTCGCGTATAGCTTCGAATACGAATTATTCTTGTACTGGGTCAAGTTGATCAACATGTTTGACTTGTCGGTAATAAGCACGTGGTCTTGTAATTGTGCTCGTGACGTGTGTGATTTTCACAATGTTGAATAAAAAATATATTGTATTTTATGAATATAGGTCCACAAATTTATTCACAGGTTAACTGTAGGTAGCGGCTTGGCTCTGCCCCTGGCATTGCTGAAGTCCATGGGCGACGGTAACCACTCACCAGGTGGGCCGTATGCTCGTCTGCCTACGCGGGCAATAAAAAAAAGCTGATGATTGTAATCTCGAATCCATAGATAAAACACATTGAGGCCAAACACTTTGAGACATCGAATTGAGATTGAGGCATTGTACGTCTATCGTTCATATCGGGATCCATATAGGACATAATTATCATTATCACACATAACACAAGCGTTAAATTAACTTAACTACCAACCAAAGTGCTTAATGTGGAAATAATTGATAAAAATGAATGTTAATTTATTGTGCCAATTAATTTCGCGCTGACTTAAATAGACACAGCCGTATGTATAGTCGCCGTTTATAAAAAGATGTTGGAGAGTTGATCGTTTGCATGTCCCCAATGAGTACAGTTAATGATTAAAGTCAAATTTCGGAATTAAATACTTTAAACTAATACTATTGAGTAAGTGTGTGATAATCTCAGTATTGCCTTTCACAATCACGCCGCACACAGCGGGGGCAAAGTTTTTGGAACGAAGTTCCTCACGGCAGGCTTGGAGGGGATAGGGATTTTGCTGCGCGACCGAACTGAAAAAAATGTGATAGTAAAACCGTAAGGAAAAATCCGTGGAAAAAAGTGCGTGGAATAAAACCGTTAAATGAGACGTGCGCAGGCTCGACAGTCGCATACACAAGCGAGTAGTGTATAATATCTTTCTCTTTCTCCCTCTTTCTTTTCGTTCTCTCATCCATTCTCTTTCTATTTTACGTAATTTATTATTTCCCAAAATACTGAATTTCCTAAATACTTTCCTATACTTAAATAAAAACTAATCAGCAAAATTTAAGAGAAAAATCAAGAAAACCTACATAAAATTGAGCACGATTTTTTTTTGCAAATTGTGTCGATTCTACATTAGCCGAAGGAACTTTGTTCCTACGTGGTGTCCCACGACACCACTTTTTTTTTTCTATTTAGCGGCAATTGCATTTATTAATGGTCAGCTTCGGGAGGACTCCAAAAAATAGTAGAATAACACTTAAAATAACCAGTAGCTGATTGGTTTTGCCGTCTGAGGCTCTTGTGGTGAACTATGAGCGTCTATAACGCTTATCATCAGACAAAACATTCATTAACCTTCTTGCTCTAGCAATGAAAGATAATTTATAAAGCTGAAATTGGCGTAAAATTTTATTGTAAACGCGACAGTAATTTTATTTGTAAATATTTTTGAATGCGACCTTGTATTTTGTTGCAGTTCTATTTTTTAAAACTACGAATAGGACCATATACATATATTTGTGATATTATAGCAGTGAATATCTTATTCAGAGCCTACAATTAAGTAATTACCAAGTGGCTACAAACAAAGGTTGTAGCGCATTCACGTTGTAGAAGGTGGTGGCGCATCACCGCATCAAGTTGGGTGGCGCATTTACGTTGTAGATGTCTATGGGCTCCAGTAACCACTTAAAATCGGGTGGGCTGTGAGTTCGTCCATCCATGTAAGCAATTAAAAAAACAGTAGAAAAAGTCAACAATCAGAAAGTTTACTAATGAAAGTGGCGAACTAGTTAAATTTTTACGCTTCTTCAAATAAACAAAAACAGCTTTCAGTGTCACTTGGAAGGGAAATTTTCGAAAATTCCTAATGTAATGTCTAAGCAAAGTAAGTTGGCTTTACCTGTTAACAAGTCTTTTGAATTCAGTGAACAAAAGAGGAAATCGCCCGCAACATGTGTTTGCGACAGTTCTCCGTTTACACAGAATAGTTCCAGCCAAAGAAAAATAATTCTTACAGGTGAATAATTAAATACCATTTTTGTACAACCAAAAGACATTGTTGTTTATAGGTACCTAAGTTTTCTTGCATAATTAATCTACTCTAGATCAGTTCAGTGATTAAGCTGTCCATTGCAAATTTATGGTCTGTCTTTTAAATGTTTATTTCTGTTGTAGTCTACTATATAATATATTTAATAAAATATAATTGAACACTCAATTTTGATTGACTCAAATTTAAAGATCATATTAGTGATTGTGGCAACAAAGACTCTACCTAATAATATAACAGAAATAAAAGTATTCTTAAAAGAAGCAAGACCCCGAGGATTTAGGAGATTAGAATTTGTATTATGTTTGCGTTAAAATAGTGGCGTAAATGTAAACAATTTATTATCTATATATTAATACGTGAAGCCAAAACTTTGTATCCCTTTTTACGAAAATTGCGCGGACGAAGGAGTATGAAACTTTCCACACTTATAGATAATATAGAGAAGAAGTGCACAAAGCTAATATTTTTTTTAAACAATGCATGAAAGATACATTAAAGAAAACATTACACACACTCCATACCATGTATTTGACGCACACACGCATGCATACTATTTATTGTCAAACTTTTGTTCTTGACGTCTGTGGTCAAATTGAAAATAGATTAAAATATATTGTTTGTCTTTATTAATATATTTTATAGAGTAGCCTTGGCGACATTTGTGATTATAGAAGTATAAAATACAATCATAATAGTGTACAAACATACAATTCCAATTAATTATAGTCGAATTTCGACTAGTGCGGGACCTCTCTCTGTGGTTTCACGGGCCACGGAGGGCGCCACCCGTTGACACCCACATCGTGGTTGGAGGCGTCCGGATAGGGGTCGGGGTGCAGTTGAAGTACCTCGGCCTCGTGTTGGACAGCCGGTGGGCCTTTCG